AAGGGTATAGGTAAGATAGGTAATGCATCCGTACCCACTACTCTTAATGTTTTATACGTTGAAGGGTTAAAGTATAACCTACTTAGCAAAGTCAATTTTATGATAGTGGTTATATTGTGGTCTTTAACCAAGACATACACATAGTTAAGCAAGATGATGGGTCTATGCTTTTTGCAACTTAGAGAAAAAAAAAAATCTTTATGAGATTGATTTGAAAGAATACTTGGGTACTGGCTTGAAAAGGCCAGTCAAAGAATACTTATTCTAGAGCAAGAAGTGGCTCGGGAAAGAAATCTTGTAACTTTGAGAAAGTTAGTGGAACTTAATTTAGTTAGATTGAAAGTTGGACGTAGTCTTTGTGGGTGAGGCAAACCAGTATAAAAACACTCGGTATTCCATCTATTCTTTTGATTAGTCTTCCAGTACTTTGTCTATTACAGATACTACTTTACTCTCTTGCAAAAAGTGCATTTTTTATATTCATTATTCAACCCCCCTTTTAGTGACTATCATTTCTCCATATATTAGTTTTAAGTCCCTTACGAATTATCATACCATTAAACACTCAATTCACAAATCAATTTCACAAATATCCATAATTAAACACCCATCTTCATATTACTTTATAAAACAAAGGTTTTCACATAAACAACAGGCATTAACATATTCATGATCAAAATAATATATACAAAATTTATCAGGCATACCATTCAATTATAACATACTAGGATTGTACAAAACCTATAGAACACTAATTTTCATTTTACAGGTCAAAACCTAAATTCACCTAAGAGACAAATAAATAGACATAAAAGTTGGGTCAACTTCTTTACCCAATAGTTAACTTACACCTAAAAGAGAAGACTCGCAATCCCTTTATATCGATGAATACTTCATGAAGGATGAAGATATTTAAGGTATCTTTTATGGTTTTTCTCTTCCCATTCTTGAAATTAGAGCGATGAAGATCTTAAGTGTAAGCATAAAAGAAAACATATGTTTGACCCTTTTTTAAAAACAATAACCCTTAACCCAACATTAAATTTCTTGATTAAACTTTTTAACTATAGTTATAAAATAATTCCTTCACATTTTATTAAAGTAAATTACAAAACAAAATAACTAATATGAACCCTTATACTAAAACACTCCTCTTTCACCTCATAAATATTTATTATTTCTAAAACCCAATTACTTAATTAAAACACTTTTTTTTATTAATTTTGAAAACCTTAGGGTGTTATAAACAGTATGGGTATGCTTGCTTAGTAGTAATATAAATGAGGATATGATGTGTAACTTTGATGAATACATGTGATATGAATTATGCACCAGGTCTTGCCTAACATGCATCATGAGTATAATATTTTTGTCTAAAAGAGTACAACATGAAATATAGGCCCTTATTGTGTAAGCATAGGGATTCATGACTTTGGGGATTGTCAAGTTTTGTTGTCATAGTTCTACCTATTTGTGTGCATTGGGTGAAACTTGTGTGACACAGCTGTCACAATGTGTTTTGGTATATCTCTTCTTAGTATAAAGTGTCATGATGGGTTGCACTAACATGTTCTCTTAGGCCACTCTATTTGTGCCTCAAGCAGGGTTAAAGTGTTTTATTGGCGCCACTTGCATGTAGACTAGTAAAACCTATGCCCATAACTTTTGTGTGAATCTTGCATTGTTGATATCTTGAGTTATTTAATTTATACCTGTTGTTAAGATTGTTTGTTGATATATGTTATGTTGTTTGTTGTGTGGCTACCTAGTCATATCACACCTCGATAGTAGAGTGAGATATTTCTCACTCTTTTTTCTTCTATTCTTGTGTATGTTTTACAAGTGAGGATCATCTTGATGATGATGCTGGAGATAAGGCTTTGTCCTTATGCTTTAATGATGGGTTAAGCTCTGATAGTACGTGGCATTAAGGCTTTAGTTTGGGATTTCATGTTTTCTTAGTCTTGGTCATCTTAGGACTTATGTTGGTACCTTTATTTGTAATGACTTTGTTATTAACTAGTTTAGCATTTCATTATGGTTTATGGTTTAAAGATATGATTCTTCTATTTAAGGGGTTTTACGAACTATTTTCTATTTATTAAAGTTATTTTTAGACTCTTTCATTATCTTTTCTTAATTTTTATGAATATGTTAACATGTGTGATAGAGGATGTCACAACAATGATGCATGATACTATCATTTCATAACAAAAGTTTAGCTTTTCTCCTTACTAAGTAAACATTTTGCATTTGATTTCAAATCCCCATGTCAATATCAAGAAATTGTATTTACTTTATGAACTACACTTTCATATATTTCTTCATTTTTCCAATGGTATCCTTTCTTAGAAATGATCTTTAATTGCAATGTATAATCAAATCATGATCATAAAAGTCTAGAACGATTTGTGGATACAAATTATACAAATAACATAAATTTAAATGGTTGTAACTTTAAGAAGTGCATAACCTTTTATTTTTTACTAATTACTAATATATGTTTATATCCACATTATATCTCATGTTTATCTTATTATATTTTATCCATATATGTGTATACCATGATTTATAATGAAAGTAAATAAGTTGTAAGAGTGTACATAGATACAAAACAAGCTTAGATAAATTTCTGAATTCACACTTGTATAGAAAGAAAATTATAGAAAGAAACAAGCTTAGATAAGTTAACATTTACTTTACTACCTAAGATGATTTTAACTTCACTTTAGCTTTTTCTTTCTATTTTATTTTCCTGCAATTATTTATTAGGAAACTTATACAGATGAACTAGTTTCCCTATGAGCATTCTATATAAGAAGGGTTCATGGAAGAAGATGGGGGGTGTGCCAGGACTAGGTTTTCTTGGTAGGACTTAAGGATGAAATGGCTTAGGAGAACTTAGTGGTAGGTTTGGTGGGCAGATTGGACTATGTGGTGGTGGACTTTTTGGTGGCAATGGATTAGGAATTTAGGGAGGTAGAAGTGGGCTTGGAGGTGGGTTAGGGTTGGGAGGGGGAAGTGGATTTGGTGGTAGAAATGGGATTGAAGGTAGTGGTGGAAGAAATGGAATTGGAGGGAGTGGTGGGAGTGGTGGTAGAAATGGGATTGGTGGAAATGGTGGAAGAAATGGGATTGGTGGAAAAAAATGTATCTTCAGCAAATTTTTTATCAAATTGAGATTTTTCTAAACTTTGTGCCTCAAAGTTTGGAACACTTTGTTTTTTGTTACAAAAGTTTGGCACTTTTAACGGCCTAAATGAGAACAAGCCAGCTGAGAATATGTGTTCTCCTTGTTTTCTCATCTTAATACTCATTAAAAAAGAGGTAGAAACTGAAAAAATCTGCGCTGACGTGTTGCATTTAGGACTCACTGGTTGTCCTTTTACTTAACAAGAGGACGAAAAAGTTATTATTATTTATCAAATAAATTTATACTTATATATTTAATATTTATAGTAATACTTTTTTTTTGTGTATCTGTATATAACATTCTTTATAGTGAGTGGAGTCAAGTTTGGGATGTGATGGATTTGGAAGACTCTCTGAACCACTACACTACATGATATTTTACTTATACATTTCACAAATATATATATATATATATATATATATAAAAGAGAAATTTATTTATTTTATTTAATAATTTTTATTCTACATCAAATATTTATAATTTATTATTTAAATTAAAAATTCTTAATACATAAATTATGTTTATAAATTTTTAAAAATTTTAAAAATTATTTAATTTTTTATTTTATTAATTCAAATTAATAAGATCATAAAAATATTTTATATATTAATTTGAATATATATAACAAATTATCACATAATTTTTAAATTTTTTAAGAATTTATAAACTTAATCAATATATTAAGAATTTTTAATTTATCAATAAGATTATTAAAATTTAATGTAAAATATGTGTTATTAAATAAAATAAATCTACTAAAACTTACTTTTAAAATATATATATACGTATATATATATATGATTTATTATTTAAAATTTGAGTAAAATATAGAAAATAGATACTAAGATTCAAACCATGTCATAAGTTGAAGCAAACTAATTGACCAAAAAAACTATATTTGACAACATAATTATACACTTAAATTATATTATATTTGTACTTATTGAACAAATTTATAATATAATTTAGTTATTTTATGTATATTATATTGATATAATTTTTTTTAGGTTTCTTGAGATATGATATAAATTTTATTAAAATTTATAAATATATATATATATATATATATATATAACAAAGTTTTTTTAAAAAAAAGTTATCTGTTTGACCTATGAATCATGCATTGACCCAATCCTCAAACTGATTTGATCCAATTTTTAATCATTTTCTATTAATGATTACTAATATATTATTTGTTTCCTTTTCTTTTTTTGGTTCGTCTCTGGAGTAGTGACTAATCTCCTCGCTACGTTGGAAGCACCTCAAAAGGTGGGATAGCTGGCCCCAAGATTTAACGCAGCTGCATACATAAGACAGGATTCAAACCCATGATCTTACTTAAGCGTGGATCAACCCCTACCGCTGAACTACACGCTTGGGATTTATTTGTTTCCTTTTCTTAAGTTGTAGTGGCTATATCTGCGACATATCTATCCCATGTTTTGTTATTTATATCACGATCCATAACATAGATATGTATATATATCATTATATCACGATTCATAGATAGTTGTACATTTATTAAAAAAGAAAACAACCAATTAACAAGGTAAAATCACCTCTTTGATTATTTTTATTTTCTTCTTTTATAAATATTTATTGAGAAATTTATACAAACTACTAGTATGCTAAGCTGCTGAGAAGCTCATTTTAATATTCTATTTCTAATACTCTTTTTAATATTAGTTAACTCATTTTAATACTCTATTTCTAATACTCTTTTTAATATTAATTAAAAATCACAAATTTTAGTAGTTTCGAATTCGATCACTTAATCAGAAAAGATCCATTAAATGAGAATTGAAACTTATAAAATTTGTAATTTTTACTGAATTTTAACTAATAATTAAAAAAAGTACTAGTAGGTGAGTATGAGATATATGATGGCTAGCTTTCCTCATCTGTTCAATCAAGGAGAAGTGTTCTTAGAAGAAGATGAAGAAGGGGGTGTGCCAGGACTGTGAGGTGGAGGGAACAGAGGTGGGAATAGTGGAGGGAAAGGGACAGGGAAAATTGGTGCAGGTGGTGGAGGTGGTGGTGGTGATGGAGTTAAGCCAGGTATTACAATTGGTGGGAAAGGAGGAAACAAAGATGGTGGCCTTGCTGGGGGAGGCTGGAATGGGTTAGGGAAGAGAGGTGGTGGGCTTGGAGGAGGCTGGAATGGGTTTGGGAGAAGGGGTGGTGGGCTTGGAGGCTGGAATGGGTTTGGAATCAGAGGTGGTGGGCTTGGTGGTTGAAATGGGTTGGGAATTAGAGGAGGTGGCTGAAAGGGGTTTGGAATGAGGGGTGGAGGCTGAAATGGGTTAGGGATCAATGGTGGTGGAAAAAATGGGTTTGGAGGAAAAAAGAAGTCTTCACCTAAATTCTTATCTGGGTGAGGTTTGTCTGAGCTTTTTGTTGGATTGAGTTTCAACACTCTCGTATGAACTTTTGATGGTGTCAAAGGGTATGTATTTCTAGGAAGTTCATTTTTCTCATGAACATGTGCCTTGGAGTTTGGATCACTTTGTTTTTGGTTACAAAAGTTTGGTTTTTCTCTAGGCTTGAATGAGAACAACCCTGCTGAGAATGTGTGTTCTCCTTGCTTTCTTGTCTTGAGACTCATTGAAGAAGAGGTAGCAACTGAGGCCACAGCACAGTGAGGCTCACTGCTACTTATCAATTTGAAAGTGCATCTCTTGATTCTCTTCGCATGTTTCTTCACTTTGAAAGGTAGCTGCACTTTGAATTCTCCATGCTCATCTGTCTTCACTTCTTTCTTGAAACTTGGTACTATTGAATTCCCAACTTTGCATTCCACAGCTACTGAGGCACCTGCACATAACAGAATAAAACATGTGTTACAGCTTTCTTTCTTAGTAGGAATCGAGCAGAGTATCAAAGAGTTACAACAACTCACGCACACGGCTCAATTAAAGAATACAGTATCAAAGAGTTACAATAATTCATGCACACTGCTCAATCAACGAGTATAATATTGAAGACTTACAACAACTCACACAAACTACTCAATCAACTAAATTAATTCCTTTGCTATATGTCACTCGCTTTTGATTACTGAGTTAAATTCTTTGCGATATGTCAAGAAGTTTAAATAGCACTTGCAAGGAAATGATATGAAACTGAACCATGACATCAGTAAGGGAAGCAAAATGGACCTGAAATGAAATGAGTTTTTGAGGAGAAATCCTGTTGAAAACAAGTGTCACAATAGACCGAGCCAACCACAACAGCAGAAGGATGCTTCTTGTCATGGCTAGTCTCCGAAGCACTACCATATGTGAGACTGAGAAACAGAATTACAAGGAACCAAGACATTATTCTAAGGTATGTAGTTTCACAAACTGTGTCTATGATGAGTGAAGGCAATTGGTGTTTGTGCTTCCTAATAAATAACGAGGCTAACACTATTCAATAGTATGCTCTTTTTCCTCTTTAACTGTCCTTTGTACTATCTTGCCCTCTATGATAAAGACAATTGAAAACAAGAAGCCAGACCAGGAAAAAGGCTATTGGTGCAATCATGCAAAAACCACCAAACTGTTGAGAGAAGTGATTTTAGTTTGCTTTACCACCGCAGAACACAACTTTGGTGGGGTGCGAAATTGGATAAAGATAGGTTCTTGGTTTCTGTTTGATTTCCAAGTTAACAAAAACAAGAAAAAACTAATATTTCTTTTGGTAGAGTCTATAGACCAAAAGGGTGGGAATAATGTAGGTTGCAATTAATCTTCTCTTGCCGAGTTCATACTTAAGAATTTAAATTTAAAATTATTAGTTAAATTAGAACAACTATATCACTTGATTTCCGTGTTTATTAGTTTGCAATTAAAACTTCTCTCATGATATTTAACACAATCACTTATTCAAGATTCTGTTTATCTATTGATCAGTCTCCATGAAACTAATATTATAATACATAGTGAATTGAATAGTATAATAAGAACAATAAACTTTGCTTGGATGTTTGTTCCCTTGTTGTTGGTGAGTAAAATGCCAAAGGAAGAGATGGGTCCTGTTGGTTCACGAGACTAAGAAAGTAACCACATAATCTGTGAGAACGACATTTGACATTACTGATGACAAACACGTAGGAAATGTGTCTTTGCTGGAGTCACACTGAGAGCCAAGACAAAGCTTAACATGACATCTGTGAAGTTCTAGATGTCAGAGGCTAAGAATTTAGACAAACTAATGAACTGTGTTAGGATGACCTGTGAGGTGCATTATTATGTGATGCTGCATGTGACAATGTTGCTAATTTATAAATTATTATAGTTTTCGGCAGCTTATGACTGATTCTGTGACTTGAGGTTAAAAAAGTAGTATTAGTGGGTTTAATTCAATTTCTTTTGAAGAAATTTTTTAAAAAAATTAAACGTGTTTTCAAATAATCATTTTTAAATCATGGAATTAGCTAGAGTGAGAAGATATATATGTATTCATATTTGAGCCATACGGACAAATATTACGAGGTTCCTTTATTAAGTGATTCACAAATCTATTGATTTGAATTTTATGCAAAAATTATTATATTATATTAACTTATTTGTGATTGATTCGATGAGTTTGTTTTTTTGTTATGTTTCAAAATTGACGTCTATGATGGACTAAAATAAATGATGTCTATGCGCATGAAAGATGCAAAAAGTGTAGCTGTCATGTTTGTAGATTTTTCTTTAGGAGTTTAATTGCATATTATCTCTAAATAAGGAAATTTTATACTATTTTAAGAATTTTTCTATCAACATATATTTTTTGTCATAAATTTATGACTTTTGTCGATTGTAGTTTTGTTCATAAGCTTATAAATTTATTTATTTATATATATATATATATATATATATATATATCACAAAATCATCAAAAAAAAATTATGTTCACAGTTCTCTGCACAACTGAAATATATATAATAAATATTTATTTTAGTTTTTGTTAGCACTAATCTTTTGTGTTGTTGTTTTATTTGGTTTTGGACTGAGTTACCTTCTTACAGTTTGGAAGACCTGTAAACATGAACATCGGTTCCAAGTTTTGTATATGTACTTAAAAAGATACTATCGTAGAAAGACAGTAAAAAAAATGGAATACTCATATTTTAATAATTTGGTATAAATAAAAAAGTGAAAACTTAAAATACAAAATATGTATACCAAAAAATAATCTACAAATATATAAATACAAATCAATAAATTATCGACATTAAATTACTAAACAAACTACTGTCCTAATAATGTGATTTGTTTATAACTGGAAAGTCAAAGAACTGCAAATTCTGACAAGTCTTACTGATAATTTGATAGATTTCCAAGAGAATCCCAAAACTTGTGTATGTTAACAACTGATCATACGGCCAATGAGGCAAAGACTACAGCACGCATGTGATTAACACCAAAATATCAATTTATATAGCTCAAATAAAGCATAATAAGACAGAAATTCGTTAAATATAATTTAATATTTCTTAAATATAATAAATATAACTTTAAAATATTTTTTTACTCTTTATAGTTTCATTTACTTTATATTTTAATTTATATAGTTTAAAATAAATTTTTTTAGTTATTATATTTATTTTTTAAATTTTTTTAAGATAAAGTTTTTTAGTCATTATATATATAGTTTTTAATCTTTTAAGCTCTGCAGTTAATTTATTTTTTGTAATGTTGTCTATTAACGTGATGAAGATATTAATTTAATTTGTATGTTTGATATTGAATTAGTTTGTTAGATTTATTTTAAATTATGTCTTCCATTTCATTGCTTTGTACCTATTTTATACCCCCACCTACAACATTTATTGTTGAAACACTTTTTTTATCTTCAAAATATTAAATACATCAATCATGTCAACACAAAATAGACATTATAAAAAAAATTAATAATAAAGATTATAATGATTAAAAAATTACTAGCTATATGGATTAAAAGGATCTATTTTTAATTATAGTAATTAAAAATGATTGAAAATATATATATATATATATAGACTAAAAAGTATATTTTAAACTATAAAAGTTAAAAGATAAAATAGAAAAAATTATAAGAAATAAAAAAGTATTTTAACCATAAATTTATATTAATATATAAAGGGGTATTTTCTTTGGTAATTATTTATTCTTCACATTTGTTGGATCATTATATCTTCATTTTTAAAAAAAATAAGAAAATAAAAAACTCAATAATTTCTATTCTCTTTTCACAACTACGACTCCATTAATTTTTATTTTATTTTATTTTTAAATAATATTAAGATGAAGTGTCTGCATTGTGAATAATGGGTGGGCCACATTGTCAAAACATAAGCTTCCAAATTATCCATTACGTTTACCTATGAAAGACGCTAAAACGTGTGGTATGTGCCTCCAGCTAGTACTACTTGCATATTGATTATTTATCATTTTCCTTCTTAGGAACTTTGATTGATACTTGCATTTATTAAAATATTTGTTTATTAGTCTTGATTATCATCACTTTATAAGCACGCTATTTAAAGTATTTCTCATAAAACTCAAAATTTAAATTTATTTACCAAATATTGTTGTAATTAATTGCCTTGTGATATATATGTCATTGGAAACACGTACTCGTTGAAATAGTTACTTTTCTTTTCTTTTGTGTGTGTAGTTTTGATATAGTCTCATGATCGATTGTTTTGTGTAATTCAAATTTTGTTTGTTGTGGAAAGTTTATATGAAAGACACGAAAATTGCGTTTTATTTTAATGAAACATAAATGGGTGGAGCTACGTGGGAAAAGGGAACTTAACTTTGAAAAAGGAGCATTATAAGTCTTAGCTAGTTGTCAAATTCTAAAGTCGTTATCTTCACGGGTGTTTAATTCCAATCATAGCATATGCTCACTGATGAGTTTACTTGTGCATGATTAATTATGGGTCCATGCATTATATAATTGTTTATTTTATGGGTTTGAGAGGCCCCCATTAACATCATTAATTAGATTCTTTTAATTTATTTATGCAATAATAAAAAAAATATAGAAACATCACCCAACTGCATAAACATGTTCACCATGCTCTTAGAGTTTAAAAATGCCACATTCTGTTGATGAAAGGGGAAAAAATTATAATGTTAGGATTTGGTTTTGGTTTGAAAAGAAAATAAAGTCACACAACATACTTGTGTAAGTTTTACTTCAGCAATTGCATATTTTGCTTGTGTCGCAACGTTTTGTGTGCCTTAGAATAATGCTTAGTATATATTTTGTGAGATCACAATATGAAAATTAAAGTATTTGTATGTAGAAAATAGATTAATCTGAAATACATCACTATATGCAGAACTGACTTTAATAGTACACAACATAAAACCAAATTAACATTTCCGTATCATCCATGAACACCATATCAATGGTTAATGCCTTCAATGATCTTTGAACATATCAATTTTTTGTGATTCTAATAGTTGATATTCATATTTCTTAACTTCTCCAATTGAACCAATGTGTCATTTTTTAAAAAAGGTTCGCCTAGCATATAAGGGTCTTAATCAAGTCATTGTATTTTGAGCCACTAAGTACAGAGGATGTATCTAGCAGTCACCGAGTTGTGGCCTATTACTGTCATGGTTTGATTATTAATGAAAGAAAGACAGAAAAAGTGTTTCAAATGGTTATCAATAGGGGTGGAAAAAATAAATTGCACTAAATTGAATTGTTAAAAACTGCACTGAATCGAAAAACAATTTGCTTGAATAGAACTGAATTGGATTATATAGAAGATTATGCGAACTGAACTCAACTGTTTTTTACTTCTCTCAACTGAATTGCATTACAATGTACTGTAATATGAACTAAATTAAATTGTTATGTGCTGTGAACTGAACTGTTTTTGTGCCTTGAATTAAACCGAACTGTTTTGAACTATTTCCGAACTACACTGAACTTTTTTTAAACTACACTAAACTGCGAGGAATCAGAAACCTTGAGATAAAAGTATTGATTTGGGTACTACTAGTGTTGGAACAATGCTCATCACTTGCAAAAGTGAAGATCTCTCTGCACACCAGCTAGGGCAGTTATTATTTGCATATCAATTACATTCTACATTAATGTCACACCATTTCAGTAATGAACCCTCACTCACTCTTCTTGATTAGTTTATGGAGCCACTTCTGATGTTTCAGCTATTGCATTGTCTATGAACTTATTGTGAATAGTTAGTTCAGTAGTGCATTGAACTGCAATTGTAGGAATCTAGTTTTAAAAAAACTGAACTGTATAATGGTTCAGTTCAGTTTTTCAGTTCGTTACAGTGCAATTATTTAGAAGTTCAATTTAATGCAGATAATTTTTCTCACCCTTAGTTTTCTCTGCTTCGCCAACAATGAATGAGTGTTGATGCCAAAATGTTAATTAGGGCATTCAACACCGCTTTTATGGCCGTTAGTGGCATTAGATAAATAAATTGTTTTTCTTTCTTC